TCTCTCTCTCTCTCTCTCTCTGGTCTTTTTCTGACAGAGTTTCACCATGCAGTTCAGGCTGGCCTTGAACTCACTTTGTAGCCGTGGCTGGTCTCAAACTCAAAACAAACAAGCAAAAAAACCTCAAAACAATCCTCCTGCCTCAGCCTCTGGAGTGCTGGGATTACAGGCATAAACCAATACACCTGCTCATCTTCTCATAATTTTTTGTTTACCCAAAGTAAGAAAGTCATCAAGTGCCATGTGAACTTTATACAAAAGATTATCCCTATTTTATATTAAGAGGACTTGGGAGGTTCAGAGATTTGGGATTTGCCCAGTATCCTAAGTAGCAGATGGCTGATCTGAGATTTAAAGTCAAAACTATCTAAATCTAGACCTCTAGAGGCATACATGTGGTGAATATCAGTAACAATTTGAAAACTTATATTCTACACCCTTGATGCCTGTTAATTTATTTAATTCTAGCAAAATATCCTGAGTTAGCTACTCTTCCACACCACCTTTATTTAGCAAAAGAAGTGAATCAGAGCTTAACTAACCAGCCAAATCTCTACCTTATAAATGCTGAAGTTAAAATATGTTCAAGAAAAAGTTGTTCTTATTAAAACATGCTAAGAATTTATTCAGGATCATCGTGATAGGGGCTGTACACTGGGGTTAGAGATTACGCTAAACTCCAAATACAGCTTGAGTAAAAAGTCATAGTAGAGGAGGCACAGGGCAGAGGTCAATGGCTAGAAAGAAACACTAAATAGAAACATCTGGGGCAAGGAGGGTTCTGGCTAAAATGATCTAATAGGATCTTGCTGAAGACAGGCCAAGGTCATCTTCCAGAGGGATGCTGGAAGATTAAGAACTTGATTGGATATTGAGGATGGAGGGTGGGTGGTTTGCTAAACTTGACTTTGGAGAGGTCTTTGTAAAACTGAATTTTAAAAGTGCACAAACAGGCTGAGTTTGGCTAAGCAAAGATTCTTCATCAAATAGTGGTGGAACGTGGGTTTATTTAAAATGTAAAGCGCGGGCTGGTGAGATGGCTCAGTGGTCTAAAGCACCTTCTTAGAACAAGCTTAGCAAAGCACAGGGACCACGGTTCAATCCCCCAGCACCACATGCCAGCCAGCCCGCCCTGCCCCCTGGCGGGCTGAGCTGGCCACACACACACACACACTAAATAAATAAATAAATAAATAAATAAATAAATAAATAAAAATGTAAAGAGCTCCTCCTGGGTGTTAAAGAAATGTGATCAGCACAAGCTGTGAAAAAAGACGATGGAACCCACAGAGGGTAAAGGGTAGGCAAGTACAACGAATAAGTAATCCTTAAGATATGACTGTCCAGATTGTAGAATGTAAACACAAAGTCTGACTATTGCGTTTTTCTTTTATGTCTTCAAATACGACGTTGTTTTCCCACTACCAGTTGTTTAGCCTCGGTCTCCCTCCCTAAAGCTCCGTCATTAATGCCCCACCCCGCCCACACCCTCACTTCTGCCAGGAGTAAAGATGGCGCGGAGCGACGTCGTTACGACGCACTCAGATGTGCGCCGGAAGTGTGTTAAGGCGTTCTGGACAGCAGGCGGTCGCGGAGCTGCTTGTGTCCTCAGCCTTGCGACTTGAGCCCTGCTGTTTGGTGTAGGTGTCGCCCACAGCCACTGAGATCATGGTGTTCTACTTCACCAGCAGCAGCGGTGAGTGGGCGCCCTGCTGACAGCCGGCTTTGAGAGCCGGGACCCCCCAGACGACCGGCGCTGTGCTCGGACCTCCTCGGCGGCGGCGTCTCTTCGCGCGCCCTCTCCGTCCGCCTTGACGTCCACCCCCTCCGGCTGCCTGGCCGTCCCCGCTGTCCCTGCGCCAGCGTTGCGTGGCGGGGCGCGGAGGGGCTTTGCCCCGGTGTGCTCGCACCCGGAGGTCGTTCTTATCCCCATCTGAAACCCCTCGCCCCGTCCCTGGAACTCGTGGGGTCTTCACCGCCCACCCCACAGCAAGTGTTTCCCTGGCCCCCGCGGCCTTGATTCTGGCTGCGTCCAGGTCATGGTCCTCCTTGGGAAGGAGACCCCTGCAGTAACTTCATGTTATAGGAAGGAATTGGACTGCCAGTGAGAGACTAGCAAGGTGTGGAAGGCACAGGCTGCAGCCACACGCTGGGCAGAGTTGATGTTCCCAGTCTTGGAAACTGACGCACGGGTTATACTTCGGGTTTAGTTTTGACAGGCTAGGCAAGGGTGCTTTTAGTTTCCAGGAAAGGTTGTGTTGTGTCTCCATTAAATCTCTCTGCTCATGTAATTTCTTTTGTCTAAAATCAACGCCAGTTACGTATTACTATGTTAAGATGGTTCTGTTTTAAGTTTCCCAAGATGCATTTGATGGCCCAGCTTCCACACCAGGACTGTTTAAGTACACTTCTTCCGGGACCCTCCTAAGATCCCAGGGGTACCTCTAGCGCTGCACTTATCACGTGGTATTAAGTGCCATATGCTTGTGCTACAGTGTAAGTCCAGGCTGGGGATTCTATTTTGTTTCCTTGGCATAGTGCCTCACTCATAATAGTTGTCAGTGATTGCTGAATAAATGGCTTTTTGTTGTTCATTTGTGTTTTTTATGAGTGGCATTTTATAACTTACTTGTAACACCTTCTATTCCCGGATTACTTGTATAGGTTTGAATAAGGTGCTGCTGTTTCTTTATTTAGCAAAACTGGGCATTGAACCCAGGGCCTTTGCACTGAGCTCTACCCTCTACCCCTTTTTTTATTTTGACATTGGTTCTTCCTAAACTCATTAATTTGCCCAGGCTGGACTTGAACTTGTAAGTTCCTGTCTCAGCCTCTCAAAGTGCTGGAATTGTAGAGTGAAACTTTTAGACATGATAAAACTGAAGTTCAGGAACTTGGAACTTCTAGACCCTGTTTCCCCGCTCCCTTACATTATCTCATCACTATACTTCCTCATAGTTTAGGCTCCCACAGTGTACCTAGTGCCATTTCTTTGTGTCTGTAGATTTGGTTGGTTGCTTGTTTCTGAATTTTCTTTTTGGGGGGCATTGAGACAGGCTCTTACTAAATAGTTGAGATTGGCCTTGAACTCACTGTGCAGTCCTGCTGGCCTTGAATTCACAAAAGTCCTCTTGCCTCTACCTCCTGGGTGGTAGGATTATAGACTTGTATCACTACTCTTGACTCTGATTTGTTTCTTTTTTTACATCCATTTTACTTTACACTCATAAAAAAGAAAACTAGCCTGAAAAATCATACATCCTTTCCAGTGTTACAAGTTCCTAAGTATTTTTCCTTCTGTTTCACTTATACCATCATACTCTAGCTTTTCTCCTATGGAGTCCTGGACAACACAGGTAACTGTTCCAGAATCACAGTAGAATAAAAAATGTGTAGGTAGGGAATACAGGCACAAACATATTAGTAGCTGTATTTCCCCTTAAAAATACCCTTGATTCTGTAAGTGGGAATCGTGTGTGTATAGGTGCCCTTCCTGATGAGACAAGTGCTTCAGTAATCTGTGGGCTCTGTTTTCTCTTTGGTTTTTATTTCATGGTCAGAACATTTTGGAAGCATAATTGGCCTTTAAGTCTAATATAATTGGCTTTTGTGCAGCAGATTCCCTCCCCCACCCACCCCCCGAACCAGGGATTGAACGCAGGCCCTTGCGTTTGCCAGGGAAGCGCTTATTCTACTGAGCCATCTCCCTGGCCCCAGCAGCAGATCTTTTAAAATGAGCAGATCTTTTAAAATGAGCATTTCCCACACTGAACAACCATGTTATTTGAGTAGGAAAAACAAACATGGTTGAAAGGAGCTTAATTCAGTTGCTTAACAGTTACACTTTTTTAATTTTAATTTTCTATTTTGACATAATTTCAGTCTTTCAGAAATTAGCAGGAGTAATACAAACTTCAAGTATATCTTTTCTCCAGATATCCAAAATTCTAACGTTTTCTACTTTTCAATTTTCCTTTCCCTCTTTTTCTCTATATATCTACACATTTTTCCCCTGAGCCGTTTGTTAGTAAGTTGCAGTTTAACCTCAATGCTTTAGTGTTTATTTGCTAAAATCAAGTGTATTCCATTATCAAAGGCATTCTTCATTATCAAATTTAGGAAATTAACATTGCAACAGTATTATTTAGTTAACAGGCTTTATTCATTTTCATCAGTGTCCTGATAATCTGTAATAATAGAAAATTATAAATCATTATTACATTCCGCTATCAGTTACTCGTTGGGCCTCTCCATCTGGAATAGTTGGCTCAGTTTTTATCTTTCATACCTTTATTTTTTCAAGACAAATCTTGCTATGTCCCCAAGATTTTAAGCTGCCCTCAAGCTTAAAATCCTCTTCCTCCTGCTCCTGTTCTTCCCAAGTGCTTGCATTACAGGCATGTGCCACTAGGCCCAGCTCATCACATTTTTATTTTTATAAATTTTAATTAAAAAAACATTTAGCACGTGTTTGCAGTACATAATGATTACATTCATCATGGGGAGTTGTATAGGTACATAATACATCCTGATTGTTTTTACTTCTTCCCTTCCTCCACCTCTTGGTGGTCTCTGCATTTGTCATGGCATTTTTAATGAAAAATTATTTTGTATGGATTTTTTTTCATCTATGTTCATATTTATCTCATTTAATAGGTTATCTGTAACTTAGATAGTTTGGCCTGTGTAGAGACTTTATTTCAGTTATTTTTAAAACTACTTTCATTCCAAGTTGGCTTGGAATCTGTACAACCCAGGCCGGTCTGGAACTCACAGTTCTCCTGCCTCAGCTTCCTGACTGCTCAGATTATAGGCATGTGTCACCATGCCCAGTTTGTAATTTATTTTTCTGTAAATTGAGTCTTGCTATATATCTACATAGAAATACTGTACTATTCTGCTACTTAATTTCTTCACCTATCCTTTAAAAAAGTGAGTACATGGTTTTTTAAAAATTTATTTAGTACAGGATCTACAGGGTCTTACTACATAGATCAGACTTGTAGTGATCCTCCTGTTTTCAACCTCCCAAGTGCTGGGGTTAGAGGTGTGTGCCACTATGCCCAGTCTCACTTGCCAGGGCGGGCATGGCACGCTAGGGATCAAATCCTAGTCCCCGTACCTGCCTAAAGAAGTGCTTTAGTCCACTGAGCTATCCAGTTGGTCCTGTACATGGCATTGTGTATGTGGCTGTTTGTTAGTATATACAACCAGCCTCTGTTAATGGTTCTCAGTTGTGAAAGGAACAAGCCATGGCTTGCTGGAATGCTTCAATAGAATGCACTCCTACTGGTGACATCGGGTTGGAAGAGTGAGCACATGAACTATTGCCAGGCTCTGCAGAGAGCCTGAAGCCCTTTCTAGTTCCATTTCTACCCTGGCATTTGTTTCATGCAAGGCTAAGATCTCATTGAGCTGGTAGAATCCTCCACCAGAGCCTCTTAAAGCCAGCTGGTCCACCTTCCTCTCAGTGCAGACAGCCGCCCTTCAGGTCTCAGCTGCTTCTGGGTAATTATGGGCTGTTGGCATAAATGCTCACTGAAGGGATTTGGAGTTTTCTCTTACCAAGAAAGGCAGCTAGAGTTGCTTATGTAACAAGGTTCTTATGACTGAAAGTGCAGTAAGCCCTGATTTAGGGATTTACATGAAAGACTGCTGCTCTGCAGCCTTCCCAGCTCTGCTTATGAGGCGGATGTGCTGTTCTGTGGTGCGGCAGCAGCCCAGCCTCTCATCTGTCTAGTAGCTTCTGTAGACAGAGGGCCTGCTGCAGTGGTGGTGAGCCTATAGCACGCATGCCACAACAGACCACCACTGAAAGCTCTAAAAGGCTCACCATTACTACTGAATACAGTATTGATTCACACACATTAAACCCAAGTGGAGCAAACAATTTCTTATAGACTAGCTTGGCAACCCAGCATCCAGTTATACTTTCTGTAGGAAACTTAACTTTTTGTTTGATTCCAGCTGAGGAATGCCTGCCTATATAGAGCGCACTGTCTGTGGAACAAATATCATTCTTAAGATGAGTGCATTCACAGTATTCTATTTGATTTAGGACAGTGGTTCCTTACCCTGATTTCACATTAGAAGCACCTGAAAGGCTTTCAAAGACACAAATGTGTACAGCCCTGCTCTGAGATTTGGATTTAGTTGGTCCTAGCTGGACCTTGGTTGTAATTGGGTGATTCTAATGCTCAAGTAGGCTCAGAGTCACAGATACTGAAGAAGTTTAGGAGGTGTGGCTCCCCTGAGTAGGACAGGGAGCCCATTACAATGCACAGCACCCTTGAAGTATAACTGATATTGGCTAAATAAAACTATGTCAAAAGCTGGCTGAATACTAGAGGTTATTTTAAAACAACTGATGTGGAGGTTGCAATTTTGTTCTCTTAACTCTTAAAGCAGAGGTACATGTTGCCACTTTTTTTTTTTTTTTTTTTTTT